AGCACCAAAGGGAAATTCAGTATGACAACATAAAGGCTCTGAAATTCTGCTGGTGACAAAACTGCGTGTGCCCGTGGAGGCGGCGGAATAGTCAGCCTCCCATATCGTGTGCTTAAATGTCCTACCTTCTCCTCGCCCCCGGGACCGGCTCTGCCAGTCATCCCATCGCTAGGGATGAAGATAACAAGCCATTGTCAAGGGCAACCACAAAGCTGCTTGTTTCACATTAGCATCCTTAACATTTTCTATCTAATCAGATTTCCCCCTGGTTGAGGAAAGCTGCCTTTCCTCATTACCAGCTGCTATCCCAGATTTCCCTCTCCCAATACATATTTTTGCCATGCTTGTCTGCTTTTCTGTGTAAAAAGGTTACGTATGCCTGGAGGGAGACTAAATGTTAACAAAAAAAAAAAAAGGCAAACCCCCCCCCCACGTGAAAACAGAACTGTGGGCAAGAGGCCAAGACTCTGAATTATGTGACTGTGACTAACCAATGGGTGTTTTCAAAAAACATTTCTCTCATTATGTTCCCTCCTCTGGATGTAATAATACAACTCAAATTAGTTTTCCAGGAGCAGACTTCTTTTTATGTAACCATGTTTTATACAGATAGCAGCAGCTTATGTTTAAACTATTTAAGAGAACAAATAGCTGCAAAATGTACTTCAGATGGCCCTTCTCCTGCTAGCAGCGTATTCCTGGCTCGAGGGATGCTACAAAAACACCCTGTATTTCGCTGCCGCTCAGATGTCATTGTAAACAGTGCCTAATGCCCACAGGACCCAGCATCCAGGTAAGGATGGCAGGTCTGCCTGGTTTATTGCGTTTGAGAGATCCACGACATTGTAAACTGGAGAATGACTTTGACGAAACAAAGCTGGAACGATGCAGAACAAAGCAGCAGTTCATCTTCTAACTTAGTCCAAAGCTTCCCATAGCATTAGGAGAGGCAGCTCCCCATCCGAACCGCCACCCAGACCGACAGACGTCACCCAGCTGGGACTGGACCCAAATGGAAATTTCCACATTTCGGGAAGATAACATTGTTGTGATTTCCTACTGTTCTCATCCTTCCTTCTACATCTACCACTTAAAAAACCAGACTGGCCTCGCTGCAATTACTGGACCAAGGACCTTCTATGCGTTCTCCAGGTTGATATCAAATGTACTGGCCCTGGACCTATTCTGCTAAGGTGTATTTGAGGCATATGGATGCTGTGAAAAATGACATTGCAAGCAGGCAGGTAGGGTGTCAGAAAAAGAACAAGAAACCACCATAGGCAAATTTAGAAAACATGGATCTCATTTTCTCATTCCTTCTCTTGCTTTTAGAAATGGGCCTGAGATAGGAGAAATGATGGGCCACCTAGTTCAGATACCAGAGTGAGGTGGTGGTTAAGTCTTCCAGCAAATAGTAGAACATTTCCCCAAAACCCCTACACAAAAAGCCCAGAAAAATCTTTTACCTGGTATCATCATACATGCCTAGGGGGTTCAAATTCTAAAGCGTTAAATGAGATTCCTCAAGCATTAACCCTGTATGAAAGTGGTTAAAAAGCCCAGAGGAGAAATCCATCATCTAAATGAAATATTTAGACAAAGAGTTGCAAAGTTAGAAACATGCAGGATTTACTATGTGTTCCCATGTCGTTACTCAGCAGATAAAAAAAGGCACATTTTTATACTCTCTGCAGAGTCTTTCAAGTCTGCAATTTTCCATAAAACTTCCATTATGACATTTTACTTGGAAAGCTTTTCTAATAGCTTCTCAGTTGCCATGCTTTCCAGTACCTTCAAAAATGTGTAAATTATGCTACAGTAACAGGTTTAAACATTTACTTTCATTCATCCTCATGGCACAACTGAGCTGTTAACTGCTGGGTTCTCTCTCGAAGGTATCCAGGTAGGCTTTTGTTTCAGTGACTCCATTAACTTCAACGGACTGTTTTAGTGTTTGCACTGAAAGCACAGTTCAGTCCATTTCACACTCAAAATTTTCCAAGCTTTGTGCCAACAAACCACCGAGGATGACACACATCAGTCCTTCACAGTGGGTCTAACGCCATTGCCAGGCAATTCATAGATTTTGAAGACAGCCCAATGCAGCCCAGGAAATTTAAGCTGCAACACAGACTAAAAGACACCTAAAGATATATTTTCCCTCTCACATCAGAGGCAACACCTTTCACAGAAACACATATAGAAATCATGCAGCGATAAAAATGGAAACCCCTACAAATTCCCATCAACTCAGACGGTTGTGGGATAAGCCAATATGGCCACCGCTTCCAGTGCCCTATCTAGTAATGCAAAATTCCTGGAGGAGAGGAGGGTTAAAAAGGAGAAGGAAAAGAGACATTCATCCTTGTATACTGCAGTGAAAGATGAAAAGCTTTCCTCTTCAAACGAAACATTTTCAGTGAGAATGATTAACAATACCATATGCCACGGAGGCAGGAGTAACATAGCTGTTGTTGGAGAGAGACAGTACGTAGATTTATGGACAATCTAAGAAGAGCAACTGTTGGCTTCCAGGTGAGAACACGGCAGAACTGATGCTCCCCAGGTCTTCACTTAGAGCCTGCGCCTTGCAAGCTTCTCTCGGCGGATCCTGAACTCAACATCGAACCAAACCATGTCCCCAGGAGACTCACGCTCTGGAGATAAAAGGCTCAGCACAACTCCACTTCCCTCATTCCTCTTGAACGTTACATGCCATTACCGTGTAAAATTGTTGATTTATTCTCTGCAGATGACCAGACCTAGCTAAGAGCCAGTCCCCAGGAGGAACCCAGCTCCCAGCAGAACTTCCACTGAAATGACCGTCAGCTTCTACTGGACTTACACACGAGCATAAGGAAAAATCGAAATACAGCATGTGAGTCAATGATGCCAAGTTTAGGGCCTTTCTCTTTATGGCTCACATGGAACCTTTCATTTCATCCAGTAGCACTTGCTGAGCACCTCTAGTAGCTCAGTTGTCATCATCTTCCCAGAGGAGCTTGACACGAACAGTTCTGGGCACAAAACTTACTCATGAACGACACAAACCCCGACAGGTGAGAGGCAATCCATTGTATTTGCTAATCCAGAAGAGTGCTATGGGATTCACCTTTCCTTCCTCTTTATTGAATTCAGAACTACGAAATCACAACTCCTATCAAGTCAGCCCCAGAACTGAGAGGAAAATTAGACTTTGTGTTTTCAATACCCAGTTTTAATATCCAATTGTATCATCACTAAAACAGAAAACCCTCTCCCCACACCTTCCATTAGTGTTTGTGTCAGACTTAGTATTTCTAGTGAGATGAGAAAGAAATGCCATTTTAATGAAATACTTTTTAAATAAAAGACGCAGATCTCCCAGAAGTGGTGCAAAGAACATTCATGCATTATTTGGGCTACGTAACAGGAGAAAGCAATTGACTGGGTATTTTGGGCTAATAGTGACAGCTCAGCAACTGATGCCCATCATTACACAGAGAATAATATAAGTGATTTGTGAGAAAGGACTCCAACTTGCTCACTTTGCCATTCCTGCAGACTCAGTTGTGGCAGAATCCAGCCCTGAATATTTTATCTTAAAATACATCTACCAGCAGTGGCATTATTTGTCTTGGCAGATACTGAAGCTTATGCAAAAAGTCGAAGGCTTACCAGGTGGAATATGAGGCAGTAACGCAAAACACACATGGAACAATAAGAGAAAATATTAAAAAATATAATTTAAAGTACCTTATCTTACATACACTAGACAAACAAGATATAGATACCTCATTAGTAACTTCATATTAGGAAACACAGCATTAGAACAGACCATACCTTTGCTTTATCTGAAAAGGAAAACATTCTGCTTGTATTTTTCTGCTCTGCATGCATTTCATGTTCCAAAATGCAACCGGGCGTGCATTACATACAAACTTCATCCTGCTTCGCTCAAGTACAGCTGTCAGGAGCATTCTCTAGCGCTATGCAGAAGCCTGATGGAGTGAGAGGTGTTGGGGAAAAGCCGAATCTGAGTCTAAGTGCCATATTCGCAGCAGAGTGCAGCTTCAGAAACGTTACTGGAAAGAATCAACTAGGAATTGATGCCGTTTAAGGAGCAAGCAACTTTTGGCAGCCAAAAAAAGGGCAGTGTGTAATGATGAGCGCTGAAACAAACAAACTTTCTTTAAGAAAAAGCAGCGTCGCTTTACTTCTCGTCTAGAATGAGACCGTACAAGGCTGATATTATCGTGTCCCGGGATAGCTGCATCAGACACTAACAGGCAAGCAACGGGGGACACGCAGTGCATCACGCTTCCCGCATCAGTTGCGCCGCACCGACACGGGCTGGGAAACACACAGCACACTCTAGGGACGTACATGGAAAAATAAAAAAAATAATAGAAACAAACAGAACATGGATCCATAGTGCCACAAACCTTCCGGCTCTGTGTTCTCTTTGTGGTGCACTTGCTTCAGTGGGCAGCAGAAGATTTCGTGACACTTAGCACGAAAAGGGGACTCTTTTTTCTTTAATTCCGCAGATTGGATCGAATCTTGCCGTAACATAATGTACTCCTGTGTGCCAGGGGGAGCGTCATCCATAACTGTGGTCACCACATAACAAAATGAACTCAAGTTAGAGCTTGAGGAAAGCAATCTAGAGAATTAAATCAACTACATAATGTCGGGGTGGGGGAAAGAAAGGAGGGGAAGAAATGTTGGTAGGAAAGAAAATCAAATTTAAAGTGAAAAGTATCTTAGTCATGGTGGTAGAAGGGTAGGGAAAATATTTACTTCTACAAACAACGCTTCTCATACACATCAACACTTTATATTGTTTCATGCAGCTTTAATAAACAGTAGAATAACACCCTGCTCCAAAAAGCAACGAGGTTCTCTCCTATGTCTTTGCTTTATTCTCCTATAGCGCCTAGATCTATTCGGCATGCAGACTAAGACAAAAAGCAAACAAAGCATGCTGTTATTGCCTAGCCACAGGCAACCTCTACGGTAACATCAGGGGGCAATCATTCCACATCTGCAGGTAATGCAACGTCAGTGTATCTATTCCCCAAAGTAAAAAGAACATGCCTTTATCGGGGTATGTAATTATACCCAGTTCCTTAGAGCAAGGATGAGAATCCAGCGACATTTGCCTTGGTCATAATTTTCAATGGGTAGGAGAGTAGATGTACAAAGAGAAGGCCCATTAATCCTTTTGATGGTTTTCTTGTAAAACAGCGAGTCATTTTTTAAAGTTGATCTAATATATCAATGCTGCCATTAATAATATAAATGATACGCAGTCTGAAATGTTTTCTGAATGGGGTCAGACTATTAAATGGTACAAAGATAAAATATATAGCACACAGAAAGCTCTGGCTACATCAAACTATTACATTACCAGAAAGAATTCAAACACTTTTCCACTACCGAAAAAAATGGAGCCTTAATAACGGACACAGTGAGATTCCTCAGCTTACAGCTTTAAGGCAAAGATCATGTCTTAAAAACAAAAATTAAACGCTTTTTCAAAACGCAGTCTCTAACCACTACTACTTATTTATAGTGTGATGCAGAGATAGAAAACCACAGCCAAAACCAAGCTGAGATTCTCCAACTAGATAGCAAAAAATAAAATAAAATAATAAAATACTTTAAAAAATCCAAATATTGGGAAATTAAAATCCCAACAATCAGGAAAGTAACTATCGATAGGCTAGTCTAAAACTGCAGATGCACTAGCACTATGTAAGTTCATATGGGTCTAGAAGTGTTGGCTGTTAACTCAAACAATTTAACTGTTTCCTAGATATCTGGCAACATATAACCATTTTAAAAAACTGTCACATTTAAATATGGATCCCCTCAAACAAATACAATCCTCTTGCATTTTCATGCACTCGATTTCTTCTCTCCTATCAAGAATGGTACGAGTAAGAGTCGTACCTAGGTGACAAATAAGTGATTCAACTTGATAGTCTTTCTTTTCACCGTGGGCAGTCACCTTTCAAGACCTCATTAATCCGTAGGACACACTTTGCACCTCGGCTGTTGTGGCTTCATTAGACCACACGCAGCGTCAGTAACACACACTAATAATCCATATAAAGTGCCGTTAAAAGGGATGCACGAGCTAATAGGAAAGGACAAGTGGCTCAAAAAAGGGGCAGTGGGTCAATGGAGCACAAGGTCTGGGTCGCCAGAAAACTGCTCCCTTACCAATATTATTTTTACTTTGGCTTGTTTGAAGGGTTACGTACGTGTTCACAGAACATACTGACAGCCCTGACACCGATGGGCAATTGCTGGGAAGACTCAACACCCAAGATAAGCCAAAGACCAACAAGCCCCCACTGGGTCACTCCTCCAAAGAAGACACCAGCCAGAAGCTGCTCTTGCAGTCGCCTGTGTAAAGCCACCGGCGAGCTGTGCCACCAACGTCAACGCCACGGGAGCCCGGTGGCGCGTCCCTCTGACATTACCAGGGAAAAGGGACAACATGCGCCGTAAAACGCGAAAAGCCAGGAGCGAAAGGTACAGCTACCTTCTGCCAGCACAAGCTGGCTGCTACGCAGCAGAGCACTTCCCGCTGCCAGAACCTCCTCAGCTTTGGGCGAAAGGCACAGCCCCGGGCTGACCCGCGGGGAGGCAGAGCCCTCCCTCAGAAGTCCCAGTCGATCCGTGGGAGCTGAGAGAGTGACCCACAAAGCTCAGTGCTGGGTGATGCTGGACTGCCACTTTAGTGGAAAAAATAAATAAAAAATAAATTTAAAAAAAGCAAAAAACAGGTGAGCAGCTTCTAAACAGGGTCTGCAGTGGGGACGGAGCTACTGGAGATTACCCAGAGGTATGGCATGAGGACCTATTCTTCTTGCCACAAGAGCTGTTTGGCACTGGGCTAGGATTTCTCAGCTTTTGTAAGCTCAGCGGGCTCATGCAGCATCAGCAAACCAACTCCACGGACTGATTCCATTCATCCAGTGTTTTGCCAACAGTTGCTTGGCATCATTAGGTAGGTCCAGCCCTACCTAGGGCAAGCTCACAAACTAAGACAGGTAGAGAAGGTGTAACCGGTCCTTCACCAGTCGCCTCTATGTGTGTATCACCACCTACACACTGATTTATTGAAACGTGAACAAGCCACAAAGAGAACCACACCATCAATAAGTGAAGAACATGCCGAGATCAACAAAAGCCCATCGGGTTACTAGGATCCAGCAGAGCAGGGGTAAATGAGCCTGGGTTTTGAGGACCATCATAGCACTGACATCTGGAGCAAACCCCAGGAACCACAGCTCAGGAACCGCCTTAATGCTGGAATGATGTATGGATAACTTAATTGATGTCAGTGTTTTGAAGGGAACGGCTAAAACCTTTCCTTAACATGATGAATGGCCTCAAGTCAGGCAGAGAATTTATTACAAAACGAGGAATGCGCCCTGACCCCTTGTGCCTTCCTTTTCCCTGCTGTGATGACAGCCAGACACCCTCATGGAGCCACTGAAATCACAGCTCCGGGACCTCCGTTATGGGTCCCAAGAACCAATCCACACTGCAGTTTCAACAACACAGAATCTAATGTAAAAAGCTTTAAAAACCTGAGGGTGTCCATTTTTGATGACTAAAAATAATCAGTCCACAACCATTAAATGATCATTATTAAACAATTATGAAGAAGCACTTTGTAAAAAGGAGAAACATCACCAGGAATCTGTTACGATTTTGCTAATGGGATAAAAAGCACACTTATGAAAGAATCACGTGTACATCAGAGCAGGAGAGAAATGGTAAAATTTAGGGAATTAACAGAAATCCAAAGCAGTATTTACATACTGTGCTATGTGGAGTAGAGGACATTGTTTTCACTCAACTGTTCCCTCCATTACAGAGTGCTAATTGCAGGACTTAGGACATGCTTACGCTCCTCTGTGTAACACACAGACACACGAGGCAGCTTTAAACCAGCTAATTTGGGTAGGAATCACATGGCGGCACCAAGCTCAATAAGGGCAGCAGAAGACCCATGAGAAGCCTGACAGATGCCCAGCCTCGCTCCATCACACGGACACTGTTCCCAAGAGCAGTTTGGAGAAACCTTCATTGAGGCACATCTGCTATTTCCTTGGCCACCTCTCTGAAGGCAGATGTGTAGTCATCTTGACAGCCTCCACCATTCAGCTACGCCTCTATCGTTATACTTCAGCAGCTGCTCACCCCAATGCACTCCCCATCCTCATGGGTAAAACCGGTCTATATTTCCACGTTCCCCCGAGTAAAACTGGGACAAGACTTCATATGTCATGGACACAGGTGATTAAGATACTAGCAAAGAACATATATATTCTCAGCTAGAAGATGATAATGAAATACTTCATGGCTTTAAAAAAAAAAAAAAACAAAAAAAAAAACCACACAACCCAAAACACCACCTTTTTTCTTCCCCTCATAATTCGATGGAGAGACGGAAAACACAGCAACTGTGTACACGAGACGAATTCGCAGAGCAGTGCGCATAAAATAGCTGCAGTAACTATTATGTTTCCTACGTCAAAACATTCAACTTGCTAAATATCAGCCTGTAGCATACTCCTTAGTTTTAAAACAAACAAAAAAATAAAATAATGACAATAATAAAAACTTACTGACAAGCCAGTAGAGGAAAAAAAAAATAATCCTTTTTCTACAAGCCTTACCAAGACAGAGGAAAGTGATCTTTAGGATGACTGCCGGCACCAGGATGTTTTTCAAGATAAATTCAAACATGTTTACTTTCTATAAACACACCAGCTAAACACTCTGCTGGTTTGTGTCTGTCTTTTATGTCCAACTGCATTTCAGTCCCATCTAGAATTGCCAGAAACCATAACATCAACCCTGTCCACAGGCCTTGGCTCAGGTTCCAGCTGAATAATCTTTGATATAATTCAGAGTTTAATAAAGCTGTAAGGAAGCATCTTTCCCCCCCTCACCGGTTTTACACAGAGAGGCTTCAGCTCTGCTAGCTAAAGGCTGGAGCAACCACAGGGTAAATACATACCGAAATCCAGGCAAACCAAATCCCCACGTTCCTGTTAGACTGTTGCTCTTGTATATATGACACAATTCAACACAAAAATTTTATACTTCCATGGATCCATTCCCTCCTTCAATGACCTTTCAGGTCCTTACCCAAAACATTAATTTTCTCCCTCCTCCTTCAGTTCCCTTACTTCTCTTAGTCTGGTTAGTTTTACATGCTGTGAACCCCAGGATACTTATATTTGCAATAAATTACTTTTTCTGGCATTTTACAAGGACTAAAGTCATAGCTCTACACTAGATCCTCAAGCCATGAAGAGCAGTAGAGCGTCTCCTAACTCACGCATCCACAAAGCGCAGAAAATCCCCCTCTCGCGCACAAGGGAGCAAGTTGTGAAAAAAAAAAACAACCAACCACCAAACACCAAACCAACATTCCCTCAGTACAAGTCTTTTTTGACAAACCCGAGCAGCAGCACATGCCTGCCAGGCTGCGCTGCGAAACAACATGAGGATGCTCCCCCAGCACCTCCTTCATCCTCTGCCTCCTCCACCCACAAAAAGGAAAGACAAGTCACAAG